CTACATGCCAGGAAAAGATCAGAAAGAAAGAGAAAAATAAGGTTTCGTTCATATACAAAGGAACAAAGAAATACTAGATGCCCAGGGATATTGCAAGGAGATATTGGAACAAGCCTATGAAAATCTATGATCTAGACATATTGGTACATACAGAATTTTGGATAATTTTATTAGCCAGAAATTTGTAAAGATATGGCCCATTATTGTAGTTCCTTTCCTGTGTGTCAATTGGTAAAAGGGAAACATGATAGAGCTGCTATGGAGAGAGTGTCTTTACTCCTATTCTTTTTTCTAAAATAGCCATGGAGATTGTGGCCCCTTTGCCACCATTGAGTAAAAGAAATGTGTGTATCCTCGTGGTCTGCAATTTTGCAACCTGATATCTGAAGCAGTTTCATTAAGGAATGTAATGGCCAATAAGAATAGCTGAGGAACTGGTCAAAATCTTCACTAGGGTAGTCATACCAAATGAGATCCTTGCGCATCAAGGAGCCAATTTACAATTGTCACTAATTTAAAAAGGAGCGAGTAACCACAGAATGCCTCCAAATTTGAGGGACAAGTTACAGCAATTTTATACTTAAGAATTATCAGGTAAATATTGTCAGGAGCCTACTAACTTCATGTTTCTTAAGATGTCTCAGAATCTCTTTCCCGGTTATCTCAATTTGTTTAAGTTCTTTCAACTCCTGTCCTAAAAGTAATTACAGGGAATGGAGAATATTTTTAAACTTGACATTACCAAGCTAGATACTTTTGTCAGTACTTGACACTAGAGAATAGTATTTGTTGACTGTAAAGTGTGGCATTATCCTGTCTTCATTAGAGTTGTGTTTGTTTGTTGTTAATCTACTCAGTTTAATTGGTTTTATTACCTCAAGATTTCTGAGGTCTGCTTATCCAGCTGGTTCTGTACATAAAACAAGATAGTATTTCTTTTTAAAAATGCTACCTTGGCAGTTCTGCACCTGGATCTGCTACTTAGTAGTCAAATGTTGACTTCCAGATTGTATTTCTAGGTTATTGTTACCACAGTTATGGTCTCCTCCCCAGCACTGTGCAATACTTTGTCTAGATCCGTGATGGTGAACCTATGGCATGCATGCCTCAGGTGGCACAAATAGCCATCTGTGTGCATTTTTGGTCCGAGGAGGCTGCAGAGAGGCGTACTAGGCCCAAAGTAAGGCACATCACCGCATGTCTTCTCAGATGCGTCAATGAAGGCAATAACAATCGTAGGATACATCAGGGTCTACGGCGGGAAGAACAACATTCATGTTGGTTTCGTCATAGGAAAGGCGAAATTAGCACCACAACTACCCCTCAACCAGTCCAAAGAACCAGCTCGCTTTAAACGCTTCTCCAGATGGAAACCTCTTGTGTTGGGCATAGCAGTGATCGTCCTCACCACCCAGTTTCTTCGGATCCTGAAAACCCTATTAACATCACCCCAGCCACCTTGCTGACCCAGAAGACAGATGACTGGCCAGTACCAGCAGGGAACTTCGTTCCCAAAGACATGTATTGGAACTCATGGTCTATGAGACTTGTACACCAAGTGATGATGGACTAGTTCGCCAGATTGAAGTTCAGGTCGCAAAGCCACTGGAGTCACATCATGACCAGCAGACTTTTGCCAAGAAGCTCTACACCAGACAAATCACCAATTTGCCTTCTGGGGTTGTGGGTGATCCATCACTGGAAGTTTGTAAGAAAAGACTGGACAACCATTTGTCAGGGATGGGATAAGAACTTCTGCCTTGGGCAGGGGTTAGACTAGAAGATCTCCAAGGTCCCTTCCAGGCCTATGATTCTACTATCCAATGACCTTGTCACTCGTATGCACCTAAACATAGAACATGCTGTTTTTACATCTTTTTTCTGCTGTCCTTATGACATTGCCTTTTAGCAAGTTAACAAATAAATAGTTTTAGTTATGATCAAAGACCATCTGCTAGTTGCACACTATATAGTAGAAACCTTTATCACTAATAAAATGAAGAATAAGCTTAGCAATCTTCTAGGCCCAATCAGAAATAGCTCTTATTTGTTATCTGCAAACAACAGAAGATTAAAAATAGCCCCAAATATATAAATGGTTTAATTATTTTACATAGTTTCCTCTTTATATACCATAAGCAAGGATTCAGAAGCTCCTCCTTAGAATTACTTGAGTTGTGCACAAGATGGCTTCATAGACTGAAATGGATTAAATGTTAAGTTTGGAAAAACCTGGAAGAAATAATTGATGTAAACATTGAAAAGGAGAAAGAGAACTCTTACTTAATCCTTTAGGATAAAAAATGAGATGTATAATATACAACACCTGATTTTCACTGCAGTATTTTCATATAACCATGAAGCAGTAATGGATGGTCCATAGAAGAACTTGCACATTTTAGCCAGAGCAAATCTTTAGGAATTGAGTGAAAGGCTGCATTAAAAACAATTAGCAATTAGCTAGATGCTGGAAAATAATGTGCTGATTTAGTGTTTACTGTTTCATGTGAAACTTAGTTTTCTACCCATCAAAGTATTATCATACTTGTTTATATCCCGCCTTCATTATTTTTATAAACAACTCAAAATGGCAAACATAATACTACTTCCTATTTTCCCCACAACAACCATTTGAGGTGGGTTGGGCTAAGAGAACATGACTGGTCCAAAGTTCCACAGTCACCTTTCATGACTAAGGTTTGAAATTAATGAAATTAAAGACCTGTGTTAGGCAATCAACTAATTTCAATACAGATGTCTAATATGCAACTTACTAATTATACTTAGGAAATTATTTGAGCAATATTTTGCATATGCATTCTGTCAGTGACATGAGTAATAAAATATTGACATTGACATACAGGAGCCCAACAATCAGAAATTACCTTTAATCATTCAGTCAGAACCAAGCCTCACAATTACGTGATTGATTTTCAGTTGCAAAATAACTGATTATCTCAGGATAATCTACTTCATCTATTTTATAAAATAAAACAGAGAAAATAACAAAACAAAAAAAGAGAGAGAAAATGCAGCAACAAATATATAGTTATTTCACACATATTTGTGTGAAATTTCTAAGTTTCAATCAAAGATGACCATATTGCTCATCAATGATACATAATCTATACCTATAAGCAATTCATACTTTGCAATTAACAAGTCCTCAATCCAGAAGGTAATTAGGCCATGCAATTGTCTTTCCAAAGTTGAAGATCCAGCCCAATCTGAAATATAGACAAATTCCTTATGTGTCCAATCACACTTGGCCAATAAAGAATTCAATTCCACATTCTGGATTTGATTTAGGAGATATCAAATCACTTATATCATCACAAAGTAAAATATAAAACTGTTCAGTTCTGATGGCTGAAACAAATACCTCTTTGAAAGAAGTGGGTTATAATATTAGTGTGCATACTGTGGGAAATTCCCTTTCCCCTGAGAAATGAAATATTTGGGGAAATATTAAAAAAGACAATATTATATTTCCCAAAAGGAGAAATGGAAAAACATGTTCTTAGAGGCAGAAAGCAGTCCCATCTTTCTTAATAGCTCACAACAGATGCTAGCCCTTAAGGAGATAAAGAGCTTATTGAAAGAGGAAGCTAAATATCTAGATGGCTCTATTGATAAGCAAAGCAAATACTGCAGGCAGAAATCCATTTAAGATAGGATATTTTGAAACTCCTTGCAGCAAAATGTGACAGCTAACAAAAGCAGAATGGTAGGATTAGTACAGTAGTCCCTCACCCAAGATCCAGCAGAGGACAAAAGCCATTAGCCACAATAGGAATTGCCCAACACCCTTTCAGAACACAAACTTCTTCATTGCACATTTCAGGATCTGTATAAAAATCCTGGCACTTATATACCTAATTGTTCTGACCCAGAACTGCATTCTATCTCGTGTGTGGTTCTTCATTGATAAATCTTTCCAATCAGCCTCCATGTTCTTTCCAGCATCTTTCTCCCAGCTTGGAACTGAATCAGATGGATTTTTCTTCCAACAATATGTGGGAAGGAACAAAATGTCTGTTGGCTGCAGCCTCCCAGCCAACCATGAACCTTATATATTTGCATTTGAAAGAGTGGGATTTGTGGTATAACACAATCCAGATTTTATCATTTTGCGAAAGGGCTATAGATTTATTTTGCTATTTTCCACAACTGCCAGTTGCTCTTTTTTCGTTCTCAGCAAGACCTTATATTTCCATTTAAAAAATACACGCAAGACACAATTATCTAATCCAATGTACGTTTGAGTGTTTTGGTCTTGGCATCAACACATTTTCAGCCAGTTTGGAATTAAGCTAAATTCTGTGGTTTTATCAGAACTTAGTCTACAAATAAACTTCTGGCTCTTAACTGATCCTTGATATTATCTGCTTCTCAGCTCAGGAGACAGGCTGAGCAGGACCGGTACTGTTGAAGCAGAATATCCGTCCTCATATTATAACTTTATTATAACTTTATCCAAAGGAAGCTTCAAGGAATCTGTTTAAGAACTGATCGCTGGCTGGAGAATTCTGGGAGTTGAAGTCCACAAGTCTTAAAGTTGCCAAGTTTGGGGACTTCTGGCCTATTATTTTAGAGCATTGTGTCAAACTTGGCGACTTTAAGACGGGGGAACTCCAACTCCCAGGATTCCCTATTCTTAAGTCGCCAAGTTTGAGGAACACTACTTTGGTGGGAACGAGAAGCGGAGAGTAACGGGGAAAAAGTTCGTGGCAATTTTTTGTGGACAGCAAATTTCGTTCAGGCTATAGTTTCCGCCATTCGAGGCCCCTAAAGCACGGTTCTCGCTTCCCCTCGTAAAGGAAAACAGTTCACATTTTTCTTCACAGGACAAACCACGCCCTCGCGGCCTCCGCGCCGAACGATTGGATCAGTTATTCCCACCTCACCGCCCCTAAATACATTTTTCCTCTCGTGATTGGTCTCGCAGAGACTTGGAGCTTTGTCCTCCGCTTCCGCGTCTGGCCTCCTGCTTGCCGCTCGGCAGCGAATTAAGTCGCTCTCCTCCTCTTCTTCCTCCTCCGTGAGCGTCTTCTCCTCACACGGGCGAGGCCAGCGCGGCTTCGGGCCAAGGGCGCGCCGTCGCCGCCTCAGAGTGACGCTCCGGTCTGTGATTGGCGAAAGCCCCCGGCTGGGTTTCCGGTGCGATAAAGCAGCCCTGGGACGGGCGGTGGTTGGTTTCTAGGTGGCTGCTTGTCCGAGCCGGCAAGATGAAGCGCAACGGCGAGAAGATGGGCGGGCAACCTCGTGCCAACGGCTGCAGCCTCCCAGCCAACGGTTGCGGTCGGAAAAACGGTTACGTCCCAGGCTTCGCCGGGCCCGGGTCCCACGGCCAGGTAAGGCGGTGGTCGAAGCATCTGTACGTAGGCGCGCCAGCCAAGATGTCTCTCTGGGGGTGGCGGAGGCCTGGTCGGCTCGCTCCCAGTCAAGAGGCCTCGGGCCGTGCCGGGCAGTGCCTTGCTGGAATCCCTCACTGTCAGTCACACGGCGGGAGCGAGGAAAGGGTGGCCTTGAGCGGTCGGCTTCCTCGGTGACTGTTTTCTGCCCTCGTTTCCTGGTGCGTTGAGGCGGCTTGGCGTCTCCTCGCTTCGACCCTTTTTGAGAAGAAAGTTTCCCTTCCCGGTCCTCCCCCCCCCCCTTTACTTAGCTCTAGGTGTACTAGGTTGAACCGTAAAATAACCCCACACACAGGCTACCATGGTTTGTGCTTCTGGGTACAAATGTTGCCTTTTCTAAGACTAACTATGGCAGTGTAGGTCGTTCTGCCTCTCTTGCGTTTCTACTTCTCTTTTTTAGGGGAAACATTCTGCCTTTTTAATATTTCCCAAAATATTTCATTTCTCTAGGAGAGGGTTGGGTTTTAACTTTCAATAATGAGTGTGCTGGGAATGGGAGTGTAAGATGTTCCAACTAGCAAAAAGTTGTGTATCTCTGGTGTGCAACCAGAAGTCCTGCTAAAATATGCACTTGTACTTTATTGTGTAAGCCTTGATTTATGGTCGGCATGTCACGTTCTCCCATAATTCCGTGAACATTTTGTAATTTATACAAATGGACAGCATTCTTCTGTGTGCACTTATTAATGCAGCAGTAGCTTGTATTATGTTGTAATGAGGCTTATTTGAGATTAATAGATAGCTTTATGTTTTCGCAAGATAACTTCAGGTATTTAATGTCTTTTCATAGTAGAGTACAGTGACTTTGGCTGCAGAAGGCCCCTTTCAGGAATTTTCAGATATGTTTAAATATGACTCTTTAAAAGAAATTTGCGGCAGAAAAAAAATCTGCTAAATTTGAGCTTTAGTTTTAATCATAGCTGTTCTGTAGATGATTCCTAATTTTTCATACACTAATGGAAGTTACAAAAAAGTTGGAGAGACTTACTTAGGTAAGTAACATAGTTCAAAACAGAATGCACTTAAAAATTCTTTTGTCAGTTAACATGTTAGTTTTGTTTATAGTTTAGCTCCTGCATTTATTAAAGGGTGAGTGTCATTCTATCCTGCTATTCTTTTCCTCATTCTTTATTTCATTTAGTCTGTCCAAACGTTAAAGCTCAAAAATGGAGTTTGCACATATTCTAAGATTGTAAATTTAAATGTTAATAAAAATCATACCTGGAAATGAAAAAAACATTCTCCTCCTCTATTTTAATTGGAAATGCCTACTAACAAAATTAGCAAAAATTATTGTCCCCAGTCAAATAGAAGTTCTTATTCAGACTACTTCATAAAGCTTCCTAGATTTCCACAGAGTTGAAACTGGCCACCCCTGCAAAAAATAATACATTTAAAAGTTTCAGCCTGGTTGGGCTTTTTTTTTCACCAGTCTCCTTGGCAAGTCACAATCATAGTGACTGAAGATAGAAAGTGTTAGAAAATTTGCAAATAATGCAAAAAATATCATCTTAGAGACCAATATCAATATACAGCTTGACAGACCTGAAGAATCAATCCATGAACTGCATTGCCTCTCAGTAAGTTTCCAGGTGCAATTCAAGGTGCTGGTTACCACTTATAAAGTGTTTCATAGTATGGGATCAGGACCATATTTTTTCAATTTTTTCTCCTCGGCTCACTATATCTGAGCCTGGGGGCATATTCCAGCTCCCATTTATTAAACAGTGCTGTCTGGCAGACTCAGGAAGTGGGTCTTTTTTGTTGTAGTGCCTTCCTTGTGGAATATAGCACTATTCCAATAGCACTTACACTTATATACAGTTCCATGGTGCTTTATGGCACCCTCTCAGCAGTTTATTAATGTCAGCAAACTGCCCCCAACAATCTGGGTCCTCATTTTACAAACTCAGAAGGATGGAAGGCTGAGTCAACCTTGAGCCTGGGCAAGATCGAGCTCCTGGCATTGGGCAGAGTTTGCCTGTAATACTGCATTCTAACCTCACCTCTCATGAGATGTCTTTGGCCTCAATTATGTTGGCATTTTGTAAATCCTGGATGGTCCCCAATATAGGGGGTCATAGCTTAGAAAAGCTTATTGTTGTGGTTTTCTTTGGCATGACATGATTTATAGAGCCACCTAATCATGATTGGAAGATGGATGATTATATAAATTGATAAGTAATAAATACAAAAAATGATTTGATTTCAGCAGGATATAGCTATAATTAAAATGAGGAAATAGATTGAAGAAACTCCTTTGGAAGTTGGTAGAATTTCTTCTGTGGAGGTATTTAAACATAAGATGGGTGGTCATCTATTTGGGAATTCCTGCTTTGGAAAAAAAGTTAAACAAATGCTCTCCAAGGTCCCTTCCAACATTTTTCTTCTCTTTGTGACAACCAGAACTGTAATGGGTGTTCAGAAAAACAATCATAATAAATATTATAAATACTATAACTCCACTTCTCTACCTATTGCATTTTGTTTATTTTTGTACAGAACATTGTACAGAAAATGAAGATCGTCAAAATTGGAAGAAATTATTTCCACAGTCTTATTAATCATCTAATCTTCATAATGCAGGTCAAATTACAACACTTATCCAAGATCCAATGATTGATTATAGACAGCATCAACTCTTAGCAGCATAGATAGAACTTCTCCAGGATAATTTATCCTCTGCTTGGCTTTTTAGATCTTCTAATGGTGCACACTTGGTTGCGGTATCAGGTCTATCCACCTTGTTGCTGTTCATCCTCTTGTCTTTTATTCTACTTTCCCCAAATGGCTATTAATCTACTAACCTAGTATTTGTCCTCCATTCCATTTGACTACTGCCCAAATTAACTGATAATAAAATTTCCCTCTGGCTGTTTTGCAGTTCTTATGAAAATTAAGCAATAGTACATTTAAAGCTACCAAATCTAAAATCCAGTTAGGGGATAGCATAGTTACAAAAGATTCTTCTGCCATCTGATCATCATCCAAATTTTACAACCCAGAGCTGGTAGCTTGCTCTAATCCCAATGTTATTTACACATATATTCTTAATTGGTCTTGGAAGCTATTTAAACTATGAATTTCATGGATCACCTTAATTTGACCACTTGTCTGCCTTTCAAAGCTATATATCAACAAACCATTAAATAGACCAAATCATCCCAGATGACTGCTCCCTATTGAATTGACTTCTATAATTGCATATTTTTAGTTGTGCGGTTATGTTAGTTCCCAGGAGCCAGTAGCACTCAATTTAAGTCTTATAATAATGATAAGTCTATAATCCAAAATGCTAAGATCCATGATAGATAAAAATTTAATCATCCTAAGAGAAAGCATTTCAAAATATAGGGTAGTGATGGCGAACCTTTTTGGTTCATGTGGCAAAAGCAGGGGGGGGTCGTGCGTGGGCATGCCACACATGCACACACTTTCCCCCTCTGTGCGCATGCTCGTGTGATTAGTGCTTCCCCCTCGCTTTTGGCGTGCTTTTTTCGCCCTCTCCAGGCTCCAGAGGCTTTCTAGGAGCCTTGGGAGGGCGAAAACAGCCTCCCCTGTAGATCCTCCAGAGCTTCTAGAGCTTCCCTGAAGCCTCCAGAGCAAGAAAAACCAGCACTATGGGCAAACCAGAAGTTTGGGAACGGACTTCCGGTTTGCTCGTAGGGCTGTTTTTCACCCTCTGGAACCTTCAAGAGGCTTCCCAGAAGGCTCCGGAGGGCGAAAAACTGCCATACGGCCAGACCGGAAGTCACTTCCTGTTTGCTCGTAGGCCCATTTTTTGCCCTCCGGAGCCGCCAGGGAAGCCTCCTGAAGGCTCTGGAGGGCAAAAAAATAGCCTCAAATGAAGGCCGAAGTCAGCTGGTGCACTGGAGCTAACAGGGCAATGCCTCACGTGCCATAACAAATGGCTCCACCGGCCATCTGTGCCATAGGTTCACCATCACGGATATAGGGAAAGCAATTTACAACAAAAATGCTGTAAACACCTAAAAAGATAAAAAATATGCACATCCATCTATCAGATAACCCAATTAATTATGAAATTCTATTATGAAAAGAAAATAAAGTGGCACAACCCCCAATAATTTACATATTGAATTAATATAAATCATCTATATCACATATATCAAACATTGTCTGGTGTGGTAAAATATTATAAAATCTGTGCTAAATATCATTTTTGATTAGCAGAAAAATAGCCTTAAAAACTGGTACATTGCGATTTCTCCGTGGGTGGTTCATGAAGCCAATGAGGAAAGAAGACTCGGACACGAATTTCCTTTGGGACGAAACCGACCCAGAACGAAGTCTGGGGGTCCTTTTTTATTGAGCATACACAAGGGAGGGGTGGATTCACATAGCCAATGGGGACCAATCATGATTGTGCAAGTTTACAGTATATGGTAACTCATTTACTTCCATGTAGACCTAAAGAATACTCATAGTCAATAAACCTTTTATCGCCATGTAAACTTCCAATCCTTAATTAATGTTTGAGAGTTAAACAGTTGTAACCCCTGATTTAATCAACGCTTGTAATTAAGAGTCTGTGATTACTGATCTGCTTAGTGTTAGGAGTTAAACAGTTTGTTTTACTGATTCAATCATATGGTTAATCATTGCTTCTATTCTATACGTGTTTCAGCACACCTAATGCGTGCCTGCACGTATATTGC